CTGGATACCCAGTAAGTGATTAATGAGAGCCTGGTTTTCGTGAGCTGGAGTCTGAACCGCAGACGGCAAGGCAGGCTGCACAATGAAAGCAAAAGGCATCCATCCCAAACAAAATGAAACAGCTTGAGAACTGAAGTTACTTTTTTCACCAGGTGCTTAGAGGTTGAAAGACATTCCCTGTTGGAAAGAAAAGGGTGAGCACATAACACTGGTGGCTTTCCAGACGGTGGACAATATTGACTCTAGAATAAAATGGATTTTGCCTACTGCTCACCCCAGGGCACCAGCCTCCCTGCTTCGGAATAAATGATGCAGGCAGGCGATAACCTGGCAGGGGCTGACCCTTGGGTGGCTAACTGTGAGCCTCAGCACCCCTCGCCAGACACACGGACACGCAGCGGCAAGGGCTCTGCTGCTGCCGTGCTTCCGGCACGCTCAGAGGCAGTGCCCGCTTCCCCGGCTTGCTGCAGGCTGGGGCTTCAGCCCACAATGTGTGGTGGGTACTACTCCAGCTCAGATCATTTTTGATAGGACACAGCTCAACTCTGCACACTTCTGGAGGGCAAAGGAAGCAGCTAACAATACAGGTCAAAAAACAGACTTCTTATCTAGGGCTCTTTTGCCACCCCAAAATCAAATCAAAAAGCTAAAGGTGTGATCCAGAAATAAGCCTTTAGAGAACTCCACTTCAATGTGAGAAGCAGAAAGGCCACTGTGTGTTCCAAGGAGGAGTAAAAAATTAGCTTAGAAACCACAAAAGCTGATGCCAGTTGGTAGTGCCTTCTGCATGCCTTTGGTTAAGTGCAGCACTGCATGGCTCCTCCAGCCCCGTGGGAGGCTGAGAGTGGAACCCTGGAAGGAGCCATTGTGCCAGTGAGGGACACAGTTAAGCCACGAAACCAGGTTTTGGGAAGGTGTTTAGGATATAGTCCGAGCAAAGTACTTCAAAATTGTTCAGACTGGATTTACCCCCTGACCAACTATGTCTTAACTTTTAAATAAGAGGCGAAGACAAATACTAATTCTGTGCAGTCTTTTAAAGGAGTAGTTATCATCAGGCCTGCTTTTTTCCCCCCACATATTTCTACCTTGGGCTGCCCGCACCCCTTTTTAGCACTGGCAGCACTTTGCTTACGTGGCCACTGAGTCTTCCCTGACGCCTCTGTTGCCAGGACTTGTCAAAGCCACCAGAACCACCCTCTCCAAGTTTAACCTCTGCAATCCATGGGCCTGCAAATCCCAGCCCAGATACCCAGCTGTGAAAGACTGTCAGTAACACAGATGTCTGCCAGCAAATTACGGCTCGAGACAGCTCGGAGGTTTGTTCAGCAGGAGAAACAGCTCTTAAGATGCCTTGCCAGCTACAGTGCGCGTTTTACAATGGCTGCTCAACCACAACACGCACGGGGTGAGGGTGCAGGAGGGGCAACTCTCAGTCAGCTCCCACCTAAATGGGATTTATTTTAGATACACTTAATACAGTAGGTTTCTCATCCCAACTGTCAATACAGAGAAAAGAGAAAAAGTGGTAGAGCTGGAGGGAAAAGGGAAAGGCTGGTCTCAAAGCAGTTACAGGCAGCCTGGACTAGTGATGCAGTACACATTGTTGGATCAGTGGTTGTCCTAATGCTGTGGGGAAACTTGGCAGCTCTGCTACCACTGTGGGATGTTGAGACAAAGCCAGTGTGGAAACTTCACATGAAAAAAAAAAAAAGAAAAAAGAAAAGCAAAAAAAGGCCAAATGCATTATGACAGACCCAAAGACAATAACCTTTTGTAATCCAAACAAGCTGGGCAAGCCAAGCCATTGAGCCATTGTTGAGAATCTGAAAAGCTCCAGAGCACAAGTAGAAGGGTAAAAACGAAGGAAAAAAAAAAAATCATACAGCTTGTAATAGAAAACACAGAAAACGTCCTGAATTTTAAAATAAAACAGTTCATTTTCTTGAGGCAACATCACAGCAGAGAATTTTACACTCTCCCACTACAGGATTCAGTAATTATGTATAAGAGTGGCTGGTTATTCCCAGCATCACCTGCACCTCTCTACATGCATGTGCAAATGTAGTCACTGACCAAAAAAAGGTTCAGATAATTGATCTTCTGCATTGTAAGTGATAAAGGTTTGGCAGCCTTTTAGTGTATCAAGCTCTGGCTGGCCAAAGCTTCATCTGATGTTTTCTGGAAAAGGAATATATATGCTAATTTATTCTCCATAATAAATATTGTCCTTAGAAATAAATGCAGAACAGACATGTCCTCGGCCGCTGTGTCCTGATACATCAAGTTAATGTAAGAATTAGAAAGGGAAGAAAATAGAAGCAAAACCCTTGAAGTGGAAAACGACCACTGTGAAACACCTCAAACTATCACCTCTGAGGGCCTACCAAGCTGGAAATCTAACATCTTGTCCACAACTTCAACCATGAAAATTGACTCAGACTTTTGGATAAATAGAAACAGATTGCTTCTCCTCTGCTTAGGAGATCACTGCACACAATTCGTGGAAAACAAGACTCCCTTGGGCAAACACCATGGAAAAAGAAATGGGTCCTTATTTAGAGGGGCTCTGATTTAGATAAACATATGGCAATAGAGCAATCCCCTCACCATTTTATTGTCCTGCGGCAAACAAACAAAGAGGTAACTGATGCACTAGCTGTGGGATATGGAGCAGCTAAAAGATTCTGATTCTTTTATTCAGGACAGAAACGTAGCCCCCATTTTCCACTTTCAGCCAGAAGTCAAAAGGAACAGCAGTGAAAGGCAGCCTCATCACATCCTTCACATGGTTTTGCTTGGCACAGGCCACCCCTTTCTGGGACGACACTGAGGTGAATTCATACTTGTATTTTCAAGTCACAGTCTAAATATTTATTCCAGAATAACTACTTACAGCTAGGCATATTTGTACTAAACTGGTGGTAATTTTTGCATTGGCCATATTAGAATCTGTAACTGGATCAACATGCGTCCTATAGTTCAGGAAATTCAGAAAAATCAACAGGAAAATCAACTCTCTCCCCCCTGCCATATGTTAGAACAGAGTTCACACACCAGTACTGAAAAACAACACATTCAATCAAATCTGCTATCTATTTAGACTTACCCAAGCTCTTCTACCTTACTCAGTATTCTACATTTAAAATTTGCATTCCTTCTTATTTATCTTTCTTCTAATGCTTAACAGTATTAGCTATACAACAACTATTTTGAATAAGGTAAAGTGCTATGCACAGATTCACAAATGATGTACAAACTGATAGACAGAACCACCTCTGTTTAATTTTTAACCATTCTAACCCTGTATGCATCTCAACATCCTGCTTGTGATTTTGACTGGAAAAAATCACAGTAAGCAGAACTTCCACTGAGCTTTTTGACATGGCTCTCAAGTTCATTTGGAACCTCTAGTGTACAAAATAGCTCTTTTTCCCTCTTTGTGCTTTACCTGGTATTTACCAACAACGAAATTGAACACTGTGATGCCCATGCCCACTGCCAATGCTGAAACTTCAACCAGTCTAACCTGATTTCTTTTCCAGACCACTAGCCAACTGGGGAAATGCAAAACAACTCCCATGAACCTGGAGAAACCCTGCCTTCCAACTACGGTGAAAGAATTCTGCTCTTACCGTCCCTCTGAGGAAGTTCTTGGCCCATGATACTTCTGTAGCTCTCCACAAAATTAGAGGGGTTTCTCCCTCCCTTCCCCCCCCCCCCCCCCTTTTTTTTTTTTTCTTTTCAATAGCATCTCACATCTTGAAAAAGAGCTTTTGGAAGTCCACACGAAGCCATTCTTTACTGATGCCTTCAGAGACATCCGGGAGTTTAATGAGAAAACTCCCTTTGCAGAAACTGGGAGAGTGTCTCATGATCTTCCAAATGTTTTACTGTTTAAGTCCTCAGTTGATCCAGTGTTCTCATTCTGTTCCTATTCTTTCACTCATGCCTGTAGCCTTTTTAAAATGTGAAGTCATCGTTCTCAGGGTGAGACTGCATATTTCTACTAGCAGCTGTTCAAGATGATGGACAATGACTGTTACTCCCAGATTAACATGTTCTGCACAAACACTCCAGATAATATTAAACTTTGGTCATTGTTCTGCCATTAAAACATCATTATATTTATGGTCTATAAAGTATGGGACAAATCAGAAGCATGTGGAGTTGCAGACGCACGTGAGCATTCAAGTCACCAAATCTACAAAAGTTCAGTTAAAAGTTCTTTTTAACCCCCTCCATTCTTTCCTTTCCTGAAAGGATATTTGCTAAGGATGCTAAAACACGAACAGCATGGAAGTGAAGACCATTTGCATATATAGAGCCTTTGCCTTTATAGGTCACACACAGAGCACACAACAGCAAGGATTACAGCTTCTCTAAGTGAGTGGGAGTCACTTGAGAAGGAGCCTCTTGAACCGACACAAAACAATGAAGACATTTAGCCAGAGACAAAAAACTCATCGCTCTTCCTGTCTTCACTTCATTAAGTCAATGCTGTTCATTCAAGCCTTTTCATTTTAGGCTGGTTATGACTTTTATTCAGATAGGACTATCTCTAAAACAATTCCTCAAGGTTAACCAAATTGGGGATCAGCTGGACTATGGGAGGAAGCTCTTCCCTTCTGCAAGCACTCCTCAGCATGCAAAGACATGATGGCCCACTGATCTAGATTCTATAAAAAGGTACTTCCAAGAAAGGAAAGTTGTTTAGCTTCTAGGAAGATCCTCTGGCATATCTTCCCCTTTATGTATTTGCTCTGCTTTGAGAGCATATCTTAAAATGAACCAAGGTCTTGGCTCTAGAGGTAGGTCAACTTATTTAAAACATTAATTTCTGAAAGAAAGATACATCTGAAAGAAGGAAATACCTTTCCCTTTAGTACACTGACATACACCTCCATGTTCAATGCAGTCTACACTAATCAAAGACACATACAAAGCAGCCATTGGTTAAGAAGCCAGCTGACCCCATGCTGAGAAGGACACATTCTTACCAGCCAGTCATGTTGAAGTCACGGTAGAGCATCCTCTTTCCAACTTCCTTGCGCTGCACCCTCCGTGGAAACTCTAAATGTGTGAATTCATTTCCCAGCAAGTGGGGCTGCATGTAAGCCTGTGGGCAGAAACCAAGCCACAGATATCACATGAACATCAGAAAAATAGACATTTATTTTTAATGAGGTAGCATGACCATCCCTTCCTGCTTCCTTCCCGCACACCTTTTTTTACCCCATTTTTAAACAAGGAAGATGATAAGCTCCGTTTCAGCCAATGATGTGCACATACACTAGTTCTGACACTCCTTGGTGTCTGGCAGTGGCCTTACAGAAAACAGTCCTCTTGCTCTCAAAATCCTTCACTTCTCCCCTCCTAGTTCCTCAGCGTTTGGGATCTCTAAAGTACACCTCATGCACTGACTCTGAGGGAGTCTGCAGGGCTTCGTAAAACAGAACACATCTCCTTTTGTAAGTCAGTGACCTGAGAGAAGGAAATGATCAAAGGACAAAACCATGGAGCGAGTAGAGACTTGAAGGGGTGCATGTGGAATGAAGCTCAAGCTTTTTGACTCCCAGTTCAGCTATGCTAACAACACACACAACGTAATATTACTACCACACTTTAATTTTTACTGCCTTGAGAAAAATGTTCCCTTTTACCTGCTCAGTGTGCTACACTCCATCGGATGAGACACTGCAAATAAATACAAGTTGCAGAGCACTTTATTTTCCTGTTTTCTAAAAACTACTTCCTTTGTACAGAAGAGACTTTATGAAAAGCAGTAGCAGTTTTGTGTCACAACCACAACTAAGGTTATGATGGTGTTAACATCTGACCACTGCTGCCCTTTCTGGTGTTGCTTCTCTGCAGATGCTGGTAGGCCTCTTTGCTAGAGCCAAGCCTGAGACTCATGTGCTCCAGAGCTGACCGCCCTCGAGAACATTGCAAGGCTCTTTGTCCACCACACAGATTTTTGGTTTGGAATTATACACAGATCATCTGACACAACAGGTTAATCCTTAAACATATTTTATTTCTTCTTTCTGAAATAAACATCACTCATTTTTCTTTAACATTTGCATAAACAAGCTTTCCCCCTCCCTCTCCAAAGCCACATTGTAAGCGAGCTCTTCTGAAGACACAGTCAAATTGGATAGGGGATGGAAAAAAGTTGCATTTCTTAACCTTTCTGCAGATAACACTTTTTCCTTATCCAGCCAGTTAAGGCAATAAAGTCTGTCTTATCTCCAGCAGCAGCTGCTGTCAGGGCAGACTAAATGAGCTGGCTTTAGTTTGTGGGTTTGTCATAAATCTAGCGCTCATCAAAGGTGAGTGGCAGGAAACAGTGGAAGCCCTTATTGATCTACCTGGCAGCTATCATGCAGATAGTTCAAAATAAAATATTTCCCACAATTAAGGGCCGAGCCTGCTCCCACTCAGTTTAATAGGAGTTGGATCAGGCTCAGCACATCACAGCGCTAACCCTCCACCAGCTCGTCCCCATTCCCATCGTCAGACATCCTTCCAGAAAACACCTCGAGCTCGGCTGAAACAGGGCTGAGGGAGATTGTGCAGCTGACAAGATTGGATTCTGCTTTCAAGAGGTGGCTTTCAAGCACGCAAGTGTGATCTTGACATTGTGATCCCTTCCTGGAACAGGAGCTCCATCAAATTCTCTCTCTGTGTACAGTTAAGGGAATTACATTTTTTTTTTCCTGAAGTCTACAGTCGGCCAAGGTCCCTTCCCTGATCCAAATATTGTTTTCAAGGATCCTCTAATTTGATTGCTGTTCCTCATTAAAAAAATGTTTGAGGAGCCCTAGTGACTTTTGAGATGTCTAGCATTATTAGTCCAGATGAGGCTTTCCATACTTCTAGATTCTGGATTCTTTATTTAGAAGTACATGTAAACTTTTTATTTTCATTTATTTTCATTCCAGTTGCAAAAAAGATGGAACATCCCTAATGATTTATCTGATGTATTGTCACACACTGACAGCAGAGAGCAGGACTTTTTTTTTTTAATTTTTAAATCTTTCTAGTCTATGGTATTGTAAACAAAGTCGGTCTGCTTTGAAAGTGCAATTCAGTTCATTTTAAAAAACGCACAGCCTATCTTGATTAATCATTACAAACCACTTCTACCTAAAGACTACTGCTGCCTGCCTACAAAACAAGAAGCCTTATTTAAAGTAAAAAAACCTAATACCTGACATCAAAATCAAGTTATTTCACCTTTAGATTATGAGATTACTTATTAGGGTAGAGAACAGGTCCAGAAGAAAAAAAGTTACGGGCTTTTAGCATTTTTCTCCTTGAAAACAAGAATTTCCTTTATTGAAAAGGTAAAGCGATTGGGAGAGACTGCATTTCATAAAGATTTACTCAGATGGAAAGTCTGAGGTCACAAGTGAAATAAGATTAATAAAGCTGGCAGAGTTACCAGTGGACTGCTAATGTTCAAATAAGATTTCTCTTCTGCAGCCAAGCCTCAATGCTTGATTTACAATCCAGCGATCTTAACTTGATTCTAATATTTTTGGCGTCAGTGGAAGAGAGGGAAAAGAGCAATTTGGAAGCTTCTGGCGCCTGTGAGCTGAATTCTTATGTGAAGAAATGGGGATCTGGGGGGGAGCTTTTTTTTTTTTAAAAAAATTCTATACTTCTTACGTTTTTCTTTCAACAGTGATTTTTGATGCTTCACTGGTAATTCTACAGAGAGAATAAAGCTTTGTTATAAAACAGCTGCAACTTAAGTTGGGTTTGTTGAGAACTCTTCTCCATTTACTACAAGCAGGACTCTTCTCCCTCTCCACCCCAATCAAATTGTGCTGGGCAGCAGAACCAGAAAATAAATAAACAACACTTTAAAATCCTACAGATCTTTCAAGTAGACACCATGAAATCCCCTCAAGTGATCAAATAAGAAACAAAAATGGCAAGTAAACCGACTATCAGAATTTCATCTGCGATGAGGCACTGTATTTTCCTTTTTTCATTTGTTTAGTCTTGATTTTCAAGAATCTCAGATCAGAAAAATTTTTCAGATAACTTAAAATTTAATAAAAAGAGTTGCTATCAAACAGTTTCTATATCCTTACGAGGTAAGTTCAGACAACATCGTTATTCTGTGTTATGGAACCAGAATATTTTCCATCATTTTTCTTTCAGAAGCTACTACAGTTTTTTGGCATAAATCTGGCACAGTCTGCATCATGTGTTTTGGTACTCTGCCATTTTATGGTGCATTTTGTGGTTGGATGTATTACATTCAACTTTAGTTGTTCAAAATGGAGTCTGCTCAAGGAAATATCAGTCACGTTTCTTTCAAAAGGCCATTTACTTCCTGCTGTGTTTGGTAATCAGCAAAGCAAACATGAAATTAATATAAACCTAGACTTACACACTAGTATGTCAGTTAATTAGGTGACAGGGAACACTGCATGTATCTTACCTGTACCTCGATAAACCCTGATGATGCCTTTTCCAGCTCCCCCACTATACACTGCTCTGGGACATCACTAGCACTAGTGGTTTCACGGAATTGTGTTATTTTCAGAATTGCTGTTTTCTCCCGCATGAACTACACCTTACAACTTCATCATCTTCTCATACTGTGCCATTTTCTCCAATAGGATACTCTACTATATGGGACTGCCATTCACAACAGGATGCACAGCATCCACAAGTTTTGCAGATTACTCAGTCATTACCATACGGACACGTTTAAGCCAAACAGAGATTAAAACTAAAGGAGGTGGTGGTAGAAGGAAAGAAGGAAGTGGGAGCCAAATCCATCCCTGAATTGTCTCCTCTTATGGAACACCAGGACTCTTTCCATAAAACCACACATCTCTCACCACAGCATCGTGCAATAAATATGCCAGATGGCCAAAACAATCCTAGGCTGGGTGATGCAGGGAGCCATGAACTGTAAGAGAATTAAGATGCATCTGACTTGTAACTGAGGCACTGAACTGACATCTAGGAGATTCTAGGTTAATTTTCTCTTCAGGCTTGGGTTCCCCAAGCATCCTTCAGCAGATAAATTAGCATCACTTAATCCTCACCTGAACAATGAAATAAGTCCTCTTTGAACCCATGTGGTCCAGCTCATGAACCTGTGTTTGAATGGTGCCAAACACAAAGAGCATCCACAGCTCACTGCCACTGATGGCCAACCAGTCTCTACTAGTAGCAAGCCTGCTCTGGTAGCAGCAGTGCACCATCTTTGGTCTGAGCTGTCAACTTTTGGGGCATTGCCCAGCTACATGCATGGACATGGTATGCAGTAACACCGTGCTGACCCCACATGACATATTCAAAGCATAACTTTGATAACTAATAGGAATACACCCAGCTGAAATACACTCATTCATCATTAATTTTAAACATGTTTTCCAAAGGAATAAGTAACAAAATCTATGCCATTTACTGTTGCAATTTAGACTATCATGACTAAAATTAATAGTCTCCTTGGAAGATGAAAGGAAAACTGCCTCTGGCAGTCACTGCCTGCACAACTGCTGAATGCACCAGAGTAGTTCCCAGTCAATACTGGATTTTGTTCTCCCCCAGGATACACTGATTTGGGATGCCAGGGCTTTTCTAGAGTAGGTGCTGTGTAAGCTCTCCTGCCACAACGCTAGAAGAAAAGAAAGACATAAAAATTCAGAAGAAAAGGAGGCTCGTGAACACTCGTCAGTGGAAGGGAAGCAGTATGGTGCACTGAACCTCTACAGAAGCTGAAGGACCAAGGGAATACTGGTGCAAGGTTTTCACACCTTACCTTCTTAAGAAGTGCTCTCTGACTGAAGGATTGATTGCCTTCTGCAATCCTCTCGACAAGTTCCCTGACACAGACGTCTGCCTCTACCATATGGCCTGCCTGAAATCTGCAGCTGTGTGCTGCCCTCCCACTGCAAAAAACTGGGCTGCAGGTGGAGACGGAGGGATAACCATGTGCAGAGCTGCTCAAAAGTTAGAATGACTGGGTAGTCAACTCATTCTTTTGAAGTTGCCATGCTAGAGGCCTATGTCCAAGGCCATTCTTGGATACATAGCAACAAATCTGCATTAAAATGGGGGCTGGATAGGGAAAACATTTGCTTCCCCCTCTCCCTCAGTTACTCAACTAGCTCAAGCACAGTTTAGCCCAAGACTAGGCTGGAGGACTTCATATAGAGATGCACACATGACCTGAACAACTCATTATCCCACAGATTTCTTTGCACATGGAAATTAGGGACCGGAAAATAAGACAGAAATACAGAAGGTGCCAGTTAACCTAAACCAACATCTTGTGTGGCCAAAGCAATCAACAGGCAGCAAAGGCAGAGGAAAGCTCCTTCGCCCTGACTGTGCTGACAGTGTCTACTACACAGCGAGCCAACGCTCAGTAGCCTGCAGGCTGTAAATCCATACCATCCCTTTGCCTGTGCAGTAACTTCCCCACAGTGAACAGTATCTCTGCGTTTACCAAGTAAAATCTTAATGCTAAAATGATTAAGTGATTTTCTTCCTATTGTGCAGGAAGAACAGTGCAACATGTTTAAAACAAAGACACCCAGCTTTAACTGCATATAAGAAAATAAATCCAAAGTAAGTAACTTTCAGATAAGAACAGCAGAAGAGAGATGCTGATGGTGCAATAGACTGACGGCGGAACCTGGGGACAGCCAAGGTGAGTAAGGAGAATTATTTGGGATCTAATCAGCAAGACAGATGCAACCTTTGGGAGTGTAATGTTTATGCCAACCTTGTAAGAAATTCGGGGATGTCTTTTTTTTTTTTTTTTAAACACTAGACTAAAAATGTTACTTTTGGAATGTTATGTTTGAAATTATCTCTAATTTTGTTTCATGCTCCTGCTGTCCTGGACGTATTTTCTTTGAATATGATACACATAGCCTTGGCGTATTCGTCACATGTAGAATTAAAGTAGACAAAGGTAAAGGAATTTTCCAAAGGAAACAGCAGAAGTGCTTTTCAGATCAGCTGCTGTTTTCAAATACAAGCTAAACAGGACATCAAAAGATAAAAAAAATCCCTGGTAGGCATTGCTTTATCTCCTATGTCCCACAGAAGTAGCAGACTTCCTAGACAATAAAGATACCTTCTATTTTTAAAGGCAAACAAATTATTTTAAGTGCAACCGAACTGAAGTGTAAATATTTATTAGGCCTCTTCCATTTGGTTCTCTGAATACTCCCAAAGCAGTATTTCTTCTGCAATTTTCAGCTTCAATCTAGTGAACCTGATTAAAAATCAAACATGACAACTGCAGAAACAGTCACAATTTTTATTTAAAACTCTCCACCCCTGCCTTCAACCCCTGTCACTGTGCATAGTTTCAAACCACAATGCTTGGGCCAGGCTGAAGATAAGAGACACTTGAAGACCAGGGAATGCCACTAGCCTTGGCCTGTCCACGTCACATCAGGCAAAGCTAACAGTGAGCCTGCCCTGGCTTAAGTTTAAATTTCAAAGAGGAAAAAGCAGAAGAAGCACAAAAGAAACCTCTCAGCCACATGAGGAATGACATTTTGATAAACATCTCAACCAACTAATGCAACCATAGATGAAAAATTTAAAAAGTAACAGGATTGTTTGCATAAAAAAATAAAACCACACATTTTTACTTAAGTTTCTTGGGCAGATTATCAGCCAACACAACTTGGTGTATAAAGCATCCCATATTTCCTCAGCTAGTCAACCTGTTCCAGTTTTATGAGTGCTTCTACACTAAACAAAACTAGTCTTTTTTCACCCATCCTATCCTGCAGTACTAACACTCACTGAGATCACTTCCAACTTGGATATCTTTTCCCTGATTGAGATACTATTGGCATACTATTAGAGCAAATGAATAAAACCCTGCAATATTGTTCACATGCACACAAAGAACAGTCTGTGGTATTTTATACTGTCACACAGCAAACACTGGGATGGACTGAAATACCTCTGTGGCTTGTTAGCTTTATGTCTGAGCTGTCATTACCCAACACCAACGAGCTGCTGACGGTCTGCACCTGAACAAGGTACACAAGCATAGCCATGCTAATCAACGGCCTTCACAGAAGAGATAAGACTCCTTTCATCAGGATTTGCACCACCAGGCTTTTATCCACATTTGCTGATGGCTAAAAGATGTACACGGTCAGTCACTGTTGTTCAGTGGACACGTGGTCCTGCACTGAGCCACAGTAATTCAGTGGCATGTGTCTGAACCTTAGACATTACCGAGCAATGCTTGTCATCAACAGCACCTGATTTGGTCCTCAGGCCTCTTACCAGATACTGAAGTCGCTGGCGTTCCGTCTCTGGAGTGAATTCTGAAGACATTGGAATGACCTCACCGTTTCGGATTATTATAGCCCTGTAATAGTAACAGAACATCATCAGTAGAGAGGGAAAAAAAAGAAAAAAAGGTAAAAAATACCCAGAAAACCACAAGGTACAGTCACACTCTCATTCTCTTCAGAGTCCCAGTGAAATAAAGCCATTTCTTTTGTACTGAAGCTGTCAACATAAGAGGATAATAATTCCTGCCCTGCTTCCTTTAGGCTGGATAACTAAGTATATTTGTATATGCCAAGTTCATTTCAGAGCTCACAAAAACATCCAAGCAACAAAGGCAAGAGTTATTTCAGTTGATGTCTACAGGGTACCCTTATTAAGTGAAATGCAGACACCCAGAGGAGATGCTGCAGAATCACTGATTGTAGAACAACCCTTTGCAGGTTTTAATCCCAGTTGTAGCTGACACTGTCTAAACTACTGGCTTCAAATGATTCATGCAAGCAGTTTCCAATTATTGATTGGTCATATGTCATGTCAGAACACTTCTACTCCAACAGCAAATGGAAATGGCAAAGCAAATCCTATTTAACACATTTAACTAGTTACCTGCTGAAAGACGACAGGTAATGGAATCACTATATAGATCAGCCAGGAATTTTCACATACACTTCTGCAAACAGCAGAGAGGAAATTCTCACAGACACCTGCCTGTTGCCTCAACAATCTGCTAAGCTGCATGCAAAATACTGTCTGATTCTTCCCTGGTGTAATGCCACTGGCTGAAACACAGTCACAAGAGGGAAGAACTTACCCAGTATTCCTACTGCATTCTGTGGTCATGTATTTACTCACAGAACTGCATTCTTTTATCTTTCTGTTATTGATGCAGTTCTCTAAGTATAGCAATGCCTGAGGCTTTTGAAGAGCTGGATGAACTATGGAAGACCCCAAAGATTTTAATGCCTGTTTTGGAGCTGTTTCTCAACCATCAGAAAATGAATTCAGTGTCTGGATAGTAGCAGTGTGCAGTGTACCAGCTCTCCTCTTGAATTTGTATAGAATTTGGTCTAGATAAAACAAGCAACTGTCACTTGGATTCCAGTTTCTATATGTTTTAAATGGTCTCTTTTCTGTGATCTTTTCACCTGTTGATGTGATATTTATGTGCTACCTTATGTCTTCTGATAATTTGATCAGTTTGCTGGCACTGCTTCTATGCCAGGTATTCTGATGGCGCTGCAATGCAACCAACAAATATGGTAGAAACACAATGACTGAAAACTTAACCTCTAAATTTAAAACACAGGCATCTTGAGAAAACTGGCCTGGGTACAAACCAGCTTTGTAAAATTAATGGCAATGGATAACTTTCCAAGTCTTCTGGATACAATATTGGATTAAAATTGTCTCCAAATGATCATCTACTGTCGCTAGTATGCAAAAGGAAGGAGCATTATCAAGAGGAAAAGAACTGTTCACATTCTGAGACTCATGTGGCAAAGAACAGACAGGTTCCGGATGGCAACAGGAGAGGTGGGAAAAGGCTCTAGTGATGGGGGAAAAACAGTTCTGCTTTGACAGATAACAAATTTACTGCTCCTGGACTTCCAGCACTCCCTTGCAATAATCCTATGTAGAAATTAGAGGTGGCAAGAGCGCAGCCTACGTACTGAAGGCTCCCACTGGCCCTCTGCTGCTACTATTAAAAACAATATTGTGTGCTTGAAATGATACAGACATAGTGGTTGTAACTCACTAATTTCTTAAGAGAAATTTGTGCAGAATTTTTGATGGAATTTTTTTCCCTTTATGGGATCTGAAAACATTACAGGCTTACAAAAATGCTAATAGAATTAAAAATAATAAAGGTTTGCTGAAAATACTACTTTGGGATTTCTGAGACAATAATTTAAAAACTAAGAACTCCACCACCTCCTTTCTGCAACAACACTTTTGCTTTAATTTCTGCCTAAGGTATTCATCTTTGAACCAGACTCATTTACTCAAAGACAGCGGACAGTTTTTATAACCTTTTCATATGTAATTTGACTCACTTGAGTAGGCCTCCATTTAAGATGACTGTGGGTTTAGTACAGAGTAAGTATCCTGGCAACAGTCTAGACCAGACTGATCAAAGGAGCTGATCAGACACTAACCAAATTTTACACAGTAGTTTAAGAGAGTCATAAGTGATCTACTGATCCTGTGCTTGTCTGAAAGCACTAGTATAAAAAACATACATTGATAAAACTGTGTCAGGCCAATTTTTTAATTATCCTTTGCTTCCTCTCTAATCACCATTTCACAGGAAATCCATATTTTAAAGACTACTCAGACCAGCCTGGTGTTCACCTTTTTCTTTGTGCATGCCGACATACTTCTTATATACATTGATAGCTATCATTCTCACTTCTATGGGTAGAATTGGGCCCTAAGGGACTCGCATCATATAAAAAGCAAATCAGAGGCAAGTGGGTCAACCTTTCATGGCTCAACTTATTTTCACTAGAAATTGCAGCCACCTGGGATGAAAAGCACAACTCAGCACCAAAAAAAAAAAAAATAAAAATTCTTTGGGGGGGATTAAAGCAATGCTGTTGATACCTGATAAAACAGAGCCTCAGTTTTATGTTTTTCATTAATGTTTTCAGCAGTTGGACTTTATTCAACTTGAAAGTTACAGCTGCTCATAAGCGTCAAATGATTTGATCCGAGGAATTAAACGGCTCTAGATATGAGTAATGGGAGGGACGCAGAGGTACATGTACAGGTCACTGGTCTGAATTCAACTCTGGTGGGCTCATTATCCTCTTACCAGGCTCTTTACCTTTCCACACCAGCTGCTTAGCCATTTCATAACAGCAAAGGGTAATTCTGACAACGCAAGTGACAAAACCAAACACGTTTGTTGGCCATCTCGCTGTAGAGGCTGGGTGCGAAAGCCTGGCCCAGGAACCACCCTGCTCAGAGGGATTTTCCCCTGTGATTGAAGAGATGCCGAATCAGGCCCTAATTCAGTTTGGAGACTGAACTGCCCTTTCCATGACCTCGCAGTGACAGAGCTGCCAAGCACCGACTGAAGGCTTTTCCCACCCAGCAACCTCCAGGGCCCTGAATTCAATAGCCCAAAGTCAATAACTGTTCATGGGGAGGAAGCCTGGCTGATATGGCAACTGCAAACATCCCAGTAACTGCTTTTAGAGACCCATTCTATATGGTCCTGCAGGACAATTAATTTTGACTTTACGCTTCCTAATGGACTAAACAGCAACATGGCATTACGTGAGCATTACTGCTTCTGCCGTGCATGAGAGATGCACGTATACAACGAAATAGTGCTCTGAAAGCATTTCGCTCCCCATGCACTGTGGAAATATGAGTGTATTATTTTATACCAGAATACAGCTGTCCTATTAAACTGTCAGAAATAGCTACATAGGAAGCAAGAAGAACTTGAAGAGATGGAGTGCCCAGAGAGCATCTGATTCTGCCATGTTTAATAGTGATGTTTTGATTTCAGCCACACTAGTGAAACGTTATAGCAGAGCCACAGGACAAGCCTGCCAAAAGCAGTCGGATAATTCATGTTTGCAGGGAACAAGTATGTCAACAGTAACCAAATATTCTCTGATGACAAGGTTGCTTCAGACCCAATAATTAATTTATATCACCAATGAGGTAGTAATTAAGGCAAAAGTTTTTTTGTAGGAGAGGAAATTTAGAGTTGCAGATCTGCAGCCCGCTTGGTGCACTGTCCTCCAGGCTCTGATGCCTTTGCCATACAGCATCATCCACAGTGAGCAAACAGGAGAAACTGTTCTGAAGTCTTGATGCCATGGAGGCCATTAGGTCACTTATCTCGATACCTTGTAAAAACAAACCATAGATTTCCCTGAGTCCTCTCCCCTCTTTTCAACTCAGCTGCCTAACTCCCCACCCCCACAAACTACAGGACTGTACTTGCCCTCGAGTTTCACAGATGCCGGCTCTGCATGACAAAGTACAGTGTGCAGATTCACTAATCTGCAGCTGGTAAATATTCACAGAAAATAGGAATATACTGGGGAAAAAAAGTCCCCAAAACACAGCTGAAGCAGCCTAAAACGGAAGAAACAAGATTCTGATTTTGCATCCCTCTTCTGGCCATTTCACTGACTTTTTCTGATCCAGAGAAGCCGTGTCCCAAACAACTAAATATGGAGCAAGAGATGTGCCAGCACCTTGGTGTGTAAGGCGGCAATGGCAGTCACAGCAAATCCTGCAGTGGGCTATGTCCACCCAGGCCACATGCCAGTGAAAAGAAATACCAGGAGCTTAAAGTGCTGCATGTAAATCTACAGAAAATACTACATTTATCTTTTGGATTGATGTAACTGTGTAGTCTATGATGATCAACTAAATTCACACAGAATCTTAAGTATGTGGTTATTTTCTATATTCAGATTCAATACTTTATATTTGGTGTTTTGTTATAAGTCCCCTTTAAAAATATGTGGCGAATGAAGCAAAAAAAGGGTAAAAATCTGCCACTGTGTTATACTGCTGCTGTCACACTCAGGAAGTAGCAGCAACACTGGCTTAAGGAAAACATCAATATATCAATTGCCTTTGCATTTTTAATATGGATAAAACAGCCACTTCTCCTTGAATCAAGCAGGGTTTGGGTTTTTTGTTCTTTCCTTTTTTTTTTTTTTCTTTTGTGGAGAACACAATCAGTGGAGAATTGCACAGCATCCTTTCCGAGTTTCTTAAGAGAAACAAACAGAGGGAAACTTGCACATTTTAGAGGAAGCTACTGTTGGTTACTTTCATTTAATCATACAGAGAAACACTTTAGTGAACAAGGTCAAAAGTGTAATTTCACTGCTGTCATGGGTCTGTTGGGATTCTGGTGTTCAAAACAAAGAGGCATCTCCTGCTGTTAGGGGGATTCAGGGGACACCCCGATTCCATTACACACTTTTTCAGTGAAAAATGACTTAAAACACAACATTAAACTGTGCATTTCTACAACAGAGGATAAAAATCTGGTGCAGGTGACAAAGAGAGACCGTTAGGAAAACCCTTTTTGACAGC